AAAAACACATGATTACTTTATAAATTACAATGAATTATTATAGGTTAAACCAGTGGTTCTCGAACTTCTTTCATTAATGTTCCTCCTTTGAAATATTTTTCAGCCAAGTGCCCCCCGACCAATGCAAAACATTGTAAGAAATGCTTACATAAAGAGGTACAATACAGCGTTGTGCCATCAGTGTTGGATTTTGGAAGAAAAACACTTAAATGCCTAATTTCCAATGTTCAGAATCTGTCACTAAATTCATGGCAAACCAATTTTTTGTTATCGTGCATTAACGCTAAGACGGCATTGAAGATGCATTGAACCAAGTCTTTTTTTATAAGTGCACTTAAAATTTAATGAGAAACATGAGCTTGTGCTTCACTGAGGATGTTTGTCTTTCGTTGTGGCAGGAACAGAAACTCTTTTCCAAAAGTTTTGCTGCAGCTGACAGTTTACGGCAGTTAAGGATTGCATTGAAAATATAAATAATGAATATAGAACTAATATAACTTTTTTTATTGAAATTATAGTATAATTATTTTAGGAATTATGCATAAGTGATGAAGTTTTAATTAACATTTTTTTAAATGTGTCGCGTACTCCCTGCAATACTCCAAAGAACCCCTAGGGGAATGTGCACCACCAAACACTGGGTTAAACTACAGAATATAAACTACATGCAGTAACTGGGTTATCTCTGGGTAGAAAACCACTGAAGATAAGAGGTTGTGTTGACACAGTGTTTGCATTATTTTTCATTTGCTGGGCTATTTATCCAAACTGGTTAACTAATTTAGAACAAAACAATGGGCATATGAAATTCAAAACTGAACTCTAACGCAGGGTCACAACACCCCTGTCTTGGGTGGTTTTCAACGCTACTATTAACCCAGATGTCAACCTAAACTGGGTCACTATTTGTGACAGTTTAATGTATCATTGTTGCAGTTTTGAATGTGATAAGCACAACTAGTAATACATTTGTTACATAAAAAATATACTTAATACTTAAAGTTCATTTTGCTTGATAATACTTTCATACAGGACATTTACCTTACATTAAAGTACTGTACTTAAGCACAGTTTTGAAGTACTTATACTTTACTTTGGTATTTCCATTTCATACTTTACACTTCTACTCCACTACATTTTCAGGGCCAAATATTGTACATTTTATGCTTCATACTTATTTGTGAATCATAATCCAGTAATATGACACACAATAATATATTTTAAAGGGATCATCCTGATGGATAATGTGTAGTTTGACTTTTTAAAGCACATTTTGCTTCTATACTTTTACTTAAAGGACCGGTGTGTTGGATTAAGCGGCATCTAGCGGTGAAGTTGCAGATTGCAACCATTTGAATACAGCGCAGCCTTCCAAGCACACATGCAAAAGGGCCTCATCAAGAGCCAGTGATTGGTTTGTCCTTTCTGGGCTGCCGTAGAAAATTCAACATCAGTTCAACATGGTAGCCTCTGTAGATAAAAACTGCTCATTCTAAGGAAATGAAAATGATTATACACTGAAAACATACCAATGAATATTATATTCCATTTCTGCCTATAAATCCTCCTAAATGTTACACACTGAACCTTTAAGTGTTTTTTTTTTTTTGTGCAGGGTTATAATGGAGTATTTCTACACTGTGTTATTGCAACTTTGACTTCAGTAAAGGATCTGAGTACTTCTTCCTCTAATCATATTCTTCTTATGACAATTATCATTATCATCGTGACAATTACTGACAATATCATCACGAACGAGGAAGAAGCAGAGTTACTAAGCTGAACCTCCACCTTTGTGGGCGCTGCATTTGTCGGCTGCAGTTTCTCAAGCACTTGTTGAGTTATGCTGAAGCTTCATTAACCCCCCCACCCCACTCCTCTTTCCTCCGGCAGGGCCACAGACTCTAAGGCCTCCTCTCATGCATTACGCCAATGGAGGAGAAATCTCCATCAGCCTATCAAACAACTTCACAGATAATGCCTCAAAGCACCGGAGACGTCACAGCTTTTAGTCACGTTAATCCCTCAACCACTGCAGACAGAAACCCCCTCCTCTGCTCCCACAGACGTAATTTGTTTTACACAGTTACTTTTTCAAAGCGTTAGATATTGGCGAAATCTGCAAAGGCTGGTTTGTTTTATGGGTTGCCCTGTCCTGGGTTGCCAAGAGGGACGTATAGGACAGCTTTTAATGGAGGGGGAAAGGCTGACATTAAATACAGGCCAGATGGACTTTCTCCTATCCTGCTCATAAAAGTTCTTAGGACAGTTCACAAATCAAGGCCTCTCAGTATTATGTTAAGCGTTTGGATTGTTATTGTTATTGTACATTTGCAAATACTAATGTAATTTATAGCTTTTCGAGCATAATTCGAGACTCAACCCACCCAGACATTTAATATGTGAGCGTTTAACAGTTAATATTGGGTTGATAAAGTGCCCGGGGCTTTTACTGCCTTCCATGGAAACTGGCTATCATAACTCTGACAACTTTTCATCCAGCAGGAATTAAAGCTGAAGATTAAGATGATGAGTGCTATCCACTTCATTAACCGTCAGCAGCCAGTGGTTCATGAGAAGCTGAGCTGGAGTTCAGGGGTAAAATATCTCCTGCGTGGAAAAGAAACAAAAGGCAGCAGCAGGTATACAGCCAGGAGAGGGGGAAATGAAAAGTGAAATTCAAGATGCTAAGCTAAAACGGAAAAACTGCAGCTCTCTGGGGGTCAGTCCTCTTTCCGGAGGAGAGGAAAGTGGACCCCATAGTAGAGAGGGTTTGCGGTGGTCCGGTTTTTTGGGTCACTCACTATGATGTTACTGCTAACATGACAACAAATACCAAAAGGGCTTTGAGTTTCCTGACTGAGATGTAATGCTATAAAAAAGTAAAGGATAAAATATAGTCCTTTATTTAACATCACATCACTGGGCTATATGTTTATGTTTAGGTGATAAGAAATTACATTATTTAATAGCTGAATGATGTTTGGTGTACTTTTTATTATATTATTCCCAGCTGTGGTTACTAGTTAATGTTTACAATATATTTTACATAAAAATACATGATGTGTTTATAATATATGATGAATTGTTACAGAATAAATACCAAAAAGTCAAATTATCTCTACTTTTACCTGCTACAACATTTAAGTACTGCAGACTGTTTAATGAGTACTTTTAATACTTTAACTTTACATTTTTGTTGCAAATACGTTTCTACATTTACTTTTACATTCCATACTTTATACACATTTCCAGAAGTTTCATACTGTTAAGTAAAAATATGAATGCATGACTATTTATGACGAATATTTATTTCAGTGTGGTATTGTTATTTTTTACTGAAGTAAATCTACATACTTCTTCCACCACTGGTGTTAAATGTATGCATGTTGAAGCCCTGAAATGTTTGTTTATTTGAAGTAAACCTGAATAAAATTGAGTGAAAGCTGCACCAAACTCCACCTTCCCATCATTAAACCTCCTGACTGCTGTGGCCGATTGTAAAGGATGCGTAATATTCTGTATGAGCCAGTGGAGCTCTTACATATATGCATACACACATTAATAAACAATAGTCTGACTCAGACCTCTCACACAGTCTATATGTTGACAGCGGGCTGCAGCTGCGTTTGGAAAACACTTATTCAGAAGGAATTTTCTGGATAAGTATTCATGCTTTTGCACCAAAAATACTTTGACATTGCTGATGCATGCATGATGACTACACAAGAATGAATATTGATGCTGACTGTTAGTCAGTAAGCTCCAGCATAGTTTGAGGAATGACAATGAAATTTTGCTCTTGAGTAGAAACCATCATGTTATTCCAGATTTATGAGGCTCTTATAAAATATAATTACTCTGACAGACACAGGTAGACTTCATAGACATGTAAAAGGGAGGGAGTGTATCATTACATCATGTCATTAAACAACCTTTTAAACTCGGTTTACTCGTGCTGCATGTGAGTTTGGATGCTGCAATAACGTGGATTTCTATCTTATAAATCTTGAGCAGTCACCGTTGACCGTCATGATAAGGCTGATTGGGAAATTATATTTCAACACTGTACTGTCCTCTTGCATTAGTCTCTGAGTTGACTGATGTTAGTCATAATAACAAAAAAAGGAGCAGATCTGAGGTGGCTGCAGAGGGAGGTTATGAGCAGCACTATAAATGGAGGAGATGTTGATTGTATCTGTGTCTGGATACATAAAATATACTCATCCGGGTCGTCGCTGCTATCTGGAGCCAGTAAATGTACACAAGCTATAAATTACCCTCTTCTTCTTCCCTCTTCTTCTTCTCTTTCGCTTTGTGCGCTGCCAGAGCCGTGTGCTTATATGTGTGCTTATAGGAGATGAAGATGCTCACATTTATAATGGAGGTATGATTCAACCGTTTAGACCGTGTCCGATGAGCAAAATAAAAAAAATAAAAATCTACTTTTTTTTTCTCGATTTGATTTAATTTTATTTCAATAACTTCAGAATTTTTTATATCCTAATTATCAAAACAATATTTTGTTGTTTTAGGGCTGTTACACACAACTGAAAATCAGTTCAATCCAATCCAGACTCCTGTATAGGCTACAAATGATATTTATTGATCTATTTGCATATATGCAAATAGCTTGTCTTTTTTATTTTTATGGATAAAAGCACACATTTTGGACAGCAGCTACTCTCAGTTTCCGGTTTCTTCTAAAGTTGTACTTTCATTTATGTGTTTTGTTGCATAATCACAGTACGGGCAGGCCACTACTCCATGAATTCCTTTTTTAATGTTTTTTTTTCATTGTTTTATTGTTGCTTTTATTTCTCCTATTTTAAATGCAAAAGCAAAAATACAAACAAAATAAAATTCTAAATATGTTATTTTTAACACCTAAATTCAACTAAACCGGTTCACAACAAATAATTGACTGACTCCTGATGAGGGAGCAACTTGCTGATTTAATAATAATAATAATAATAATAATAATAATAATAATAATCCGATTTTTCAAAGTAAGAAACATTTTATTTACAATATTTTCAGTGCAAATTATTATTAACAAAATAGCACAACTATATATCCAGACCAACAAAAACAAATAATAATACATGAACACGTGAAACGAGTGGTTAATAACCTAGAATTAAAATTCACAACCGCCATATTTCCTTCAGATGAGGAAAACATGATGCACACGAAAGCTCTTGAGAGGAAAACGACAGTAAGGAGACACTGGAAGTGACCGGAAGTCCTGTTTTTTTAAATTTAATTTAAATAATAATAGCCTGTGCTTTTATCATTATAAAGAGTCCGTAACATTTAGAAAAACAATCTAGTAAAATTCCCCAATAAACTGCGACCTATGGTCCTTGTGTCTGGGCTAGAATAATCTCTCATATTGAACAAATAATATTGTGTTGTTGCTCCACTTGTTCCCAGGAATTAAAGGGGGGGTGGGGGGGGCGCTGACTAAATGCTGCAGTCTGGGATTTCCTCATGGGTTATTGAATTAAGATGCCACTCCAGGGTGCGTTTTAATATCACTGTCGTTCTTCTGTCAACACAATAAAAATAAAAAATAAAAACAACTCGTTCTTATATAGTTCATAAACTAAAATCTCCACGCTGCAGCCTTCATATTAGTATCTGTGAGGCCGTCGTGTCTGTGACTGTGGCCGCTGCCTCCGCGCTGCTCGCCGGCCCGCTCCCGCTCATGATCACGCTGGTTTTGTTGAGCTCGGAAACGTCCAATTGTCCGTCAGAGTTTTCCTCCTGAGCCTCGTCGGAGTCACACTCGCTCCTGCCCTCGCTCTCACACTCGGACTCCGCCGGCTCTTTGGGCTCCCCGCTGCCGGCCTCAGACACACTCTTGTCCGGCTGCTCCTTCTCCTTGTCCTTCTGAGCCTGGGCCTCTTTGGAGTGCCTCCACTTCATGCGTCTGTTCTGGAACCACACTTTCACCTGAAAACACACATGCAGACACTGTTTATTAGACTGGTTTTTCCCCCCTTATGCATATTTTAGTGACACACTTCAACCTTTTTGCATAGTCACTGTGTTTAATTTCCTTAAAACTTCTCTAGTTTTCCAGGTAACATTATGAATAAGATGGTACATTAAGTCTAAGTCACACTCTTTTAAATCTTTTATATATAATGCTTCCAAAACTCTTTTTTTTTGTCTTCCCTTTCCCTTGTTATAAAGAAAAATAGGCATTAAAGGCTCATATGTTAAGTAACCTACTTCACATATATTTTGAAGCTACCAAATCTAACCAGTGCCCAGGAATAGTTCATTTAACCTTTATTTAAACCTCATTTAGGTGTGAGATTTACGTTTCAAGGGAGATCTGGCTGAGACATCTGTATAAAAAGTGTAGATGTGGTGCGGAAAAGTTTATTAACCACTAGCAGATGACAGGAAAAAAAAAATATTATTCATAAACAACATTAAAGTAAGATCATCTGTGTCAGAGTTCATTCATGTTGTTTCCTCTGTGAGTGACGCTTGTAGATTAACTGATGCAACCTGTGATGAAATATAAACAGCAATAGTCAAGTGTTGCTCAAGATATGGTGAGATTTGTCATTCACTAGGACATCTCTCAGCCAATCAGGCACGACCATACAGTCATGATGCTGCTTTGCCAACTTCAGTTAAAGGTCTGGGTCAAGAGCTCTTATAGATCTGTTGTCAGTTATTATGAATATGAACATTTATTGTCCTGAATCTGGACTCAATGGATGCAGGTTGCAAACAGTTGAGTGTTTTATATATAAAAATAGTCTATTTTAGTTCCTTCAGGCCTATTTGTGGTATTATGGACCAGAAATATTGAGACTGCAACTGTCCCTCAAATATGGAAGCACACATTTCCATTTTATATCATTTCATTGGTTTGTCAGAGCTGAGGACACAGAGGTCATTGTCCACTGATTTATTTCTGGGATTTGAAGGGTTTTTGGGACTTGGGGTTAAATTTAATCATAGTAGGTTTTTTGTGTTCAAGTAGAAGCTGGAAGAGTGAAGAGGGTTGGATTTAATGCAATGTAGGGAATTAATCATATAAAGGTAATTAATAAAAACAGAATTATTAAATATGAAAAAATACAAATGATAAGAAGAAAAAATCGTCTTTTTGTTGTCTGTCAATTTTTTTTGAAGAAGGGGGGGACTTGTGGTTTTATTGTTTTATTGTTCATTCCTCCATCACCCAACAATAAGATTACATCTAAACATACAAAAAACATGAAGCAGTTTAAATGGGATAAAAACAATAGGCTGTTAATTTGAACATCCACACCAAGACATTAAAAGAAACGTGTTTATTTTGCCTGCAACAATGACGTCTTCAGCTGTCTCTTGTAGATGTAATTTGTGCCATAAAATAACAGTAAAACCTTGAATCCTTCATGTAAGCTTAACCATTCCTTCTGGAGTCAAACACTGCGTCTTACCTGAGCGTCTGTCAGCCCGAGCATCGCAGCCAGCTGCTTTCTGTCCGGCTTGGTGACATATTTCTGAATCTCAAATCTCTTTTCGAGTCCTTTTCTCTGCAGGTTCGAAAACACCGCCCTCGACCACGACCTTTTCCTCTTGTACGTCTGTGGCATCGTGTCTTTTGTGAGGACGGCATATGGACCTGAAAGACACGAAGAGGACATGAGGTTTAACACAAGAAAAAAAAAAAGGAGAACAGAAACCAGAGAGAACATTCACAGCAGGTGTCTCACACACCTCCAAACAGAGAGCTGGACTGGGCCAGCTTCCTGTCTGTTACAGTCCTACATGTGGTGTCTACCTGGGAAGGTGTCCTGAAACTGATGCTGGCCTGATTGCCTGCTGCTGCTGCTGCCTAGTGAACTCATCATGGAGGACGCGTCGCTCATCCCGGGCTCTATGGAGGAGAAGTACTGGCTGGCCGGAGGCTGAACGGGGATGTGGATCCCTGACTGACGGTTCGAGCTAACGATGGATGTGAGATCTGTTACAGAGCGAGAGATGATGAGTTATCGCAGTGAGACAACCTGTGTGTGTGTGTGGGGGGGGGGGCGGCAAAGATGGTCTCGTATTTAGAGAGACCATTCTACAAAGCTCATAGCCTACAGGGTTCAAGTGTGACTGCTAGAGAGTCTTTGAGCTACATTGCTGCTGTTTGTAGCTTGATCCTGACCTCTGACCTCTGTGGTTGGGGGGGGGAGTGAGAGGATTTCCCCCCACAGAGCTCTATAAAGTGCACATTATGAGGCTGTTTGCGCTCTTACTGCTCAGTGTCACCGTTATAAACTGGAAGATGACTCACTTTACACATAAGAAAAGTTTACAGCTGTTTCTGGTCTTGTTGCTTTCAGTTTCTAAAGCTTGGACATGTATTTCATGATATCATTAAAAAATATATAACTTTAAGGCCATAAAACAAACCCCTATTTATTCTTTTCTTTGGCTGACATGACAGGAAGCTTCTCTATAAACACCACATATGTTTTTTAGAAATTCAGTGCGTAAGGAAATATCTCCTCTCACCTCTTAACGACGACTTTTCTCTGCCCTTTGGATCAAAGTCTGTCGACAATATCCGATCAATTCCGAATTTGAGGTCTTTGCTTGAGGGCGGGGGAGCCTGTTGGGAGTTAAATGCAGTTCTGGAGACTGATGTTAGCTGTAGTCCGTGTCTGTGGTAAGGAGACGCCGGACTCACCCTCGCAGCGTACACGGACGGCTCCGGCGCGACGGGAGAAGGGCGCAGCGGCGAGCTGCCGGAGTGCCCCTGTTGCGCGCGGTGGTGGTGTCCCATATGCACCATGAGGGTCGAAGACCCCGGGATGTTCTCTGCATCTCCAGCCTGCAAAATGTCTGCAATGCAAAACGAGGGTTTCTTCATCGTATCCACAGCGAAGCCCCCTGCGCAGTACGCGGACCAGAGGCTAAAATTTGATGCGTAAAACGGGTTGAGCCCGGCCGTGTACATCCCGCAGCCTCTAATGCGTCTTATTGTTTCTCAGAAGAGGGTTTAAACGGACAGGCATGTAAAAAAAGCAGGGATTGCGTTTTAGGGGGATAGATGACCGTCCTCTTTGTGTCAGTGCCAAAATCGCTCTCCCAACTCTGAAATCCAAACCCTGCTGTTCCACTCTGAAGTTCCTCCGCTGACACTGATTGGTTGCTTTCTTAGCCAATGGATGTTTTGCATTTGCTCACATCACGCCCTTGTAAATGAGGATGATGTGTAACACACACACACACACACACACACACACACACACGGCCCGGACACTTTAGAGCAATTTTGATCCTGAGATGATGGATTGATCACTTAAAGAGAACCTCAGCCCATCACCGCACACACAAAAACATTACAGACTACCCATTAACTCTCGTGTTAATTTTGATTTTTCTTTGTGGAAACAGATGATATCTTCCTCCAAAGGCGAGCAGAGGAATACAAATATTTTCAGGAAATACTTTGATCTGTTATTTTTCAACATATATTAACCTGCAAATAATTACAAATCAAATCGGAGAAAAAAGGCCGCACGGTTATATAAAAAAGTAAAATGGGAAATAATTCATATTTAATAATCAACCGTCCAAAAGTCGACGTGTAATCATATAACCCCGAGCCCAGGAGAGTCTCTATTAGCTCCAACTCATCCTGTTTTTGATGGGCTGTGATTCGTGTTAAATGAGCGGATATTCCTGCTAGATTTGCCCCCGAAATAGAACCTGTTTTAGTATTTTAGGATACAGCAGAAATCCTTATTTCTTCCGGAGCAGAGGGGGGAGACTTTATAATGACTGTTAGAACTTCCCTTTTTCAATATTTGTGCAACTTTATCTCGACCTGCAAGTTGCACGGTGACGCAAATCCGTCCCCATGCTCATAATAAACAGAGGAAACCTATTCCCCTCCAAAACGAAAACACAATTAACTTCAGAGGCGATACTTCATCCGCAAGGCCCCCTCAAGATTCACACGTTGGGTTCTGGCCAATAAGATTTTATAATCACGTATTTCAATTGTAAAAAAAAAAAAAAGAAGAAAAATAGAAAATAAAAAAAGGGAATTATTTTCATGAGCTGATTTGGCTCAAATGAAGTTTAATATCTGCAATAATAAGCAGCTTTTATAACCTGTTTTAACCTGACCGTTCATATACTTTCTATATCTTTTTTTAACTGTCAATTAAAATGTACTCTCTCTCGCTTTCTCCCCCCCTGTCTTCATACTGTTTAGGTCTCCCTCCTCCTCCTCCTCCCTCATCTCCCCCCTCCCAAAAAGAAAAAACCCTCCGATCGCATGTTTCTCTTGCATGTGTGTTGAAACAATGGCTTCTGAAGGCCCCGCGTTCATTTAGTCTTGATTCATGCGGGCGGAAGGGCCGATGACCCTGACTGCCTCCTATCATGCTGTTTTCGAGTGACACTTTTCCGGGTTAAAATTAGAAATGAGATTTTTTAACGTTTGCCCTCCATCATGCAGTCAAAACAATCCAGGGAAGAGGATGTAGCAGGCGCAGCACGCCTCGAGTTATTTCAGGTGCTGATGAGCTTTTCAGTGGGAAGATTTTAGCTGTTTGCAGTCATTAATATATTTTATTATTATATTTTTTATGGCTGTTTTAAATTGTGAAATTGTTGTTTCACTGTATTAAGAATTAAAAACATGTCACACAATAAACGGGGCACTAAGAGATACATATATATTACATCTATTAAGATTTGAAAGGAATCAGAGGAGCACAGATTTCCTTTAACTCTCTGTTTTTTTTGTTTTTTCACACACACACACACACACACACACACACACACACACACACACACACACACACACACACTATTAAAACAATATAACATGAGGATAAAGTGTATAATTTCCTCCACTCTACAATTTGAATACACAGACTTTATCCTGACTAAAATGGAACAAACATTGTATTGTTTCCTGCTGTAAAATGGTGCCATTTCTCTACTTTAAAATGCACATTAAAATTAATAGAATTGCTGAGCGACTTGAGTTTAACACCCAGAAGAGCATTTAGACATAAAAAAAGGAAAGAGAGCTGAACGTTTCTACAGTTTGGGACAGACGATCTCTTTGTAGAATCACAGTGAAGGCTGCAGAGGTACGGAGGATGCAGAATGGAAACAGCCAGTTTTTGGAGCCACTCAGTGATCCTACAGTTGTTTCATGCAGTTATTGTTTTATTGTTGTTAAAATGAATGATCCTTTCCTTGTTTTTATATTATATATACCTATTCCTTTTAATGCACCCTGCACTTGATTTGTATATGAGCTCTTAAGAGCAGAGAGCCCTTTCATGGCATCAAAACCTGTAGCACAGTGTAGTGTATGGTGTAGTTTTGTAATATAAGAATACATTTTGAAACTTGCTTCTGACTCCACATCAATGCAGACTGTTCAAGTTCAGGTCTGAAACTTTAATATCCTAAAAAAAAAGCACACGTTTGATCCACAAATCACCTGTAAAAATTGAAATATTACTTCTTCAGCCACAGCCCTGCTGGATACTATTATTCACCTTTATTTCTCTTTTCCAAGCCGGTCCTCTGTGGGGCCGTATAAATGATGGCAGGTGGGATTACTGCCAGTGCCAGCGACTCCTGTCTCTGGTTAAGGGACTGCGAGTACTCAAGACCTGAATCTGTCTTCATCAACAGAAAATTCAAAGTTCAACCTAAAAAAAGTCTGATTCTCTTTTTCTGAATATTGTTTTTGACATGATAAATTGTGAGTAACCTCAAAGTTTTAGTACTTTAATTGCTGTGTTTTTCCAGTATTATTGTCCCTTTATAGATAAACATAGTCATGCAGTTTGGTAGTGTAGAGTACATTTACTTAGGTATTTAAGTACAATGCTGAGATACTTGTACTTTACTTGAGTTTTTCCACTTGATGCTACCTTTTACTTCGACTCCTACAAACAGGGAAATTGGATATTTTCTACTACATTTATTTGTTAGTTACTATACCTTTGAGATTAAGGTTTTACATTAAAACATGATAAATTGCATTTCTAAAGATAAAGTAATTTCCACATTTCTCTGCTAAACGTCTAACTTGGTTTTATTTAACTAACAGTTTTAGGCCCAAAGAGGAAAAATGATACAATATTTTGCAGGAAACCAAAAAATGAATGGTCTTTCCTACCACATTTAATCACCTCACAACCCCCAAGATTTATCATGTGACCTACTGGAGGGACCTCACACCTATGTTGGAAGCTACTGTACTAATCTACCTACAGAAACGTTATATACATCAGTAAAATAAAGTCATATTTAACAATATTACAGTAAAAGGGGACTATTTTTGCAGAATGAGTACCTTTACTTTAAATTGTTGTAATGTATTTCAAATATAGTGTGTCTTAAAGACCAAAAACACTTTGTTGTGTAAGAGATTTGATCAATTTCCATTCAAAACAGATACGTCCCTGTTAAAACATGATAAAAATGACTAACTGAGCACTAATAACTGATTAGTCGCCTAATCATCTCAGAGGAGGCAGCAGCTACAGATACCCAAACACTCTGCAGCTAATCACAGCTTAAACAAACAGCATGAAAATGAAAAGCATTTACGAGTCACATGCTCACTGTGGATGAAAACAGAGCTGTGCTGCTGTGCACTGTTGACTACCTGACGTTTACAGCGTCTGACAGACCCTATTGTTGTCGCCTGATTGCTCGCTGTGTGTTTTTCAGGAAGCCTTATCAGGCGGAGGAAAACTGAACGAGCACCTCGGACTGTAGCTGTGCTGGATCAGAGGCTGCAGGACAGAATTAAATGATTTCCATTATTACACTGAGAATTATTGCTCCCCCTCTGTAAGACTCCAGCTCTAAGCCAAGATTACTATTTCTGGCAATGTTTGCCTCAGGAAGGAACTTTCGCAGATTTAATGGGACCTGGGCCATTGTACACAGCCTTCTGTATGGCACTCTGCCATCATTTCCACAGAGAAGAGTGGGAGAAAAAAAAAAGAACGGAGGGATGTCGTCTAAAGTCAATTCAAAACAAGACTGTCTCGTTTATGTGATCCTGAATGCATCCAATATATTTCAAACATTGAACTCTCTCTGAGGTGGAGATGAACTGATTTTTAATCTGCATGCAGGAGCTGCGTGGCCTTGTCTTGTCCTACTTTGTGTATCTTTACTGAAACATGGATGACTTTATGTTGTTAGCTGTAAAATGTAAACATCTTTGATCAGATTAAGCATCTACTGGGTAGTGGTGGAATGAGTATAATTTTACTTGAGTAAAAATACTTTACTACAAATTAAAGTGCTGCATTCAAAACTTTACTTAAATAAAATATATTATAACATTATCAGCAAAATGTAACTATTAGTATCAAAAGCATCGTTATGCAGATAATGTGAGTAATATTATTGGATTCCTTAGTATTAAATCAATATTACTGTCACATTCATAAGTAATTGTGTTTTACATTTTAGGCCTATACTCTTAGTTTAATCTATAATAATGCATCAAATTTTATGTTTATGTTGAAATTAAGATAAGAGATAAGAATGTATTGATCATGAGGAGACATCCACCTGTTACAGCAGCACAGAGAAAATAGAAAAAGAGCTGTTTTAATGAAATAAATGAAATAATTAAATGAAATGAGAGACATTAAAAAGCTATATACAATATATACTTTACAATACCTTTGACCATAAATAAATAAGTGCAAATATTTGTGTAAAAGAAGTAAAATATCAATATATAAAATAACTAAAGCTGTAAAATTGTGGAGTAAAAAGTACAATATTTCTCTCTGAAATGGAGTAAAGTACTATAAAACAGTACTCATTATGTCATGTTTCAAGCCTTTAAGTATTAGGCCTAAATGCACATTTTCCAATATCATCAATATAGTTAAAGAGAATAACTGATAATTCTAATAAAGCATTAATGAGCACATGACGACACTAAATGTACAAGCAGCTCCCCCCAGTGACAAAACCTCTCTCTTTTTGTTTATTGATTGTTTCTTTTTACAACTGTAGTTTTTACTTTGATTGGAACAAACTACAAATAAATCTTCAATGAAACAATAAGATAATTAAATTATATGAAAATAAGAATCATGGTGTTAGTAGAGAGATGAACACACAAAGTGATAAAAGTATCATAAACAAAATGTACTTAAAGTATCAAAAGTAACTGAAAAAC